GGACACCTGGACAGATCTCCAGTCCATCACAGGTACACCCTGGACAGATCACCAGTCCATCACAGGGACACCTGGACATGTCTCCAGTCCATCACAGGTACACCCTGGACAGGTCACCAGTCCATCACAGGGACACCTGGACATGTCTCCAGTCCATCACACAGACACCTGGACATGTCTCCAGTCAATCACAGTGACACATAGAGACAAACACACTCTCAACCTAAGGACGTTTTAAAGTTACCGATTAATCTAACATGCATGTTTTTGGTGTGTGGGAGGAATCCGGAGCACTCAGAGAAAACCCACACAGCACCGAGAGAACATCCAGACTCCACCCTGTGATGGATTGAAGACCTGTCCAGGTGTCCCTGTGATGGACTGGAGACCTGTCCAGGGTGTCCCCTGCCTCTCACACAGTGATGGCTGGATATGGGCACTAGTGACTCCTGCGACCCGGAAAGGAAGAAGCAGGGCAGGTAAAAGATAATGGATGGACGAAAAATATGCAAACTCTACCCAGAAAGGTCCCCAGCTGAGATTTGATCCAGCAATCTTCTTGCTCAGAGGTGGCAGTTCTACCAACTGCACCACTGTGCCAACCTTTTATTGAAACAAATAAATAATTTGAACTCTGACTCTTCATCTCTTTCTATTGGTGACTCAAAATAATCTAAAGAAACGTCAGATCATTCTCTACTGTATGGCTGGGGGGTGGGGCTCTGGACTGTGCTGTGATATCCCTCAAACTCAATGTCTCCACTGGCATATGTATTATATGTCTTATGTCTATATATGTTGCTTTTTGTGTTGAGGTCGTTTCTGATCTCCTCTTTACTCATGTTGTCACTTTCCTTATCTAAAAAGGTGGCACCGCTCAAGTGGCTGCAGCTTAGTCTCCCCATGTATGTCTTTCTTTTGTTAATGTACTTTGGTAACAGTTCGTGTTTAAATGTGTTATACAAATAAATTTGCCTTGACTTGACATAATTTCCCATTACCGAACACACTTTTATTATTATTATTATTATTTATTTTTATTTTTTTTATTATTTATTATTATTATCAGGCAGCACAGTGGCACAGTTGGTAGAGCTGCTGCCTCTCATCGAGCAAGTCCCTGGTTCAAATCCCGGTCCGGGGGTCTTTCTGGGTGGAGTTTGCATGTTCTCTCCGTGCTGCATGGATTTTCTTCGGGTACTCCGGTTTCCTCCCACACACCAAAAACATACATGTTAGATTAATCGGTAACTTTAAAACGTCCTTAGGTTGAGAGTGTGTTTGTCTCTATGTGTCACTGTGATTGACTGGAGACCTGTCAAGAGTGTCACCTGCCTCTCACACAGTTACTGCTGGATTTAGGCACCAGTGAGCCCCGCCCCCATGACCAAGAAAGGCTAAAATGGTTAAAGAAAATGGATAGATGGATATTTCATTAAGCAAAGACCAGGGAGTTCCATTTTAAATTAATTTCCTGTTTCACTTTGGCTGTATCAAGTAGTAAAACCAAATGGGTA